AAAAAAAAAAAAAAAAACATCAAGCTAGCAAAACACATCACCCACTTGGGGCACCCTCACCTACCTAACTCATGCAAACTCCCAACAATGGTTGCCCATACTTTGAACCTCTCAGTAAAAGTGCCTTCCTCACGACTCATCCTTGCAACTGTCTATACAACACTGACTCCAACTCTCCCTGCGAGCAGTTGGGAACAGTGTTTAATAATTGTGTATTGATCAATACTATATATCACCCGGCTGCTTTAATGACTGGCAGGTTCCAGAGTCAAGTCAAGTTCTTTGTGATCCTTTGGTAAACAAGCAAAGCAGCGATTTGCATTTATTCAAGCAAGAGGCATTGACCCATGTGTCAGAGGACCTTATTTTCAGAATATTTGATCTTATTTTAAACTTGACATGAATACAATGTAAATCCAATTTTCTTTTAACAGTGAATAAATGATGGAAAAACCAAAGTAAATTCTTTGAGTTTTTCAACACCTATTTTAACCAAAATTTAACAAAGCTACTAACCAAATCAATGCAAAAAAAATTTTAAAAAATTTCTTCTTTTATTAAATTAATCACTAAATTATAAGGATGAAATCAATATTCATTCTTCTAAAAAAAATGATTGGCTTTTAGTGGGATTTGTGGCAAAAGCAGCCCAGCATGGAGCAAAAAATCTGATCTCAGAAATGTCATGGCATATTTCAGCTTAAGTGCCCCAGACAATATGAGGTGACCTTGTGCACCACGGTGTTCTCTGTAGATAAGCTGTCATTTTGTAATTAGGGTTAAATATGAGTTTCTATACTCAAGTACTGTGCCACCACTCACTGTCTGTTCTAGAGGGCTTACCACTGAAACTCCCACCTTTAATGAGGCATTTTTTTATATGTATGTCTTGAATACTAATGATTCCTCCTCTAGGCTTTATAGTAATAATAGCTTGGCACAAATTATTCCGTCTTATGTAAATGAAGGCAATATTTTTAGTGTGAAAGCAAAGGTTTTGGTACAACTGCAAAACCAAGGCCATGTGCATGAGAAGAACAATTAAATATAAGTTTTTTCCCTTTGTTACTATATTTTGCATACTAAAAATACACACAAATTTGAAACTGCATCTTCAGGGCTTTATAGACGCTCCCTATTTCGTAATCACAATACACTAACATTTCTGGCAGACACCTTCACAGTCTATTCTGATCAATAACAAACATCCAAATCAAAAAAACTTTCATGTAAATCCAAACAATCAATATTCCTTTGAAAGCCATACAAGCAAATCCACAGGGATAGAGATTGGGAGATGGTTAACATGAATTATTAACATGCATACAAACTCTCTGATCAGAAACCATATCAAACACCACAAAAAACAATTAGTTTAAAGCAAGAGAAAATGCCATAGTGCAACAACCTTAATGCAGGCATTAGAGAAATATTTGTAATTTTTTGGTCTCCAAGCCAAGTAATACATGTAAGTGATGCAGTCTTTATTTCTTTGTCCTCATTTCAAGAGAGATTTTTTAACATCTTAATTCTTGTTTTTTTAACAGATGTGTTTGTTGTGCAAACACATTCACACTTATCACAATGTGGACAGGTCTACCACGTATCTACCAACATATAGTAGTTTCTGAGCATTATCGGGTATTTATATTAAACAATTAAAGAGAACACACCCATATAACACATTCCACATACATATTGCCATACTGACTAGTGTGCATTTATGCATTATGGAAGGAAATGAATATAAAATGATTACTATCAAATAACACCAGTTTTCATTAATTTGGTAGAAAGGCTGTGCTGTTCTACAGCTCCAAACAGCTATAAAATGGTTCAAAATACTGATGTTCAGCTGCTGAGTTTTAGAAGTCACTTCAATACCATGATAGCAAACATCACAAAAACTGTATTTAGTGGAATCATTTTTTTTCTTCAATGAATCACCAGGCATCAAGATTTCTACAAAAATATTTCTAACATCAGTTACTAAAAAAAAAAAAAATCATATAATACTTAAACTGCTCACAGCAACCTAGGATATGTTGGTCCAAGGAGCTTGACCTTCCCATACTTTAACCTCCCCTTACCTTTGCCACCTCTGCGTATGGAAGCCCTGACAATGTCGGAGCCAAGAAGCACAACCTTCCCGCTCTGACCACTGCTTACTTTATCAGTATTTGCTATAAGGTTGCTATAGAACCATTCCCCTGACTGCATTTTGATTTGCCTAATGAAATCAACAGAAAACAACCATGCACACAAAATAAAGATATAGAGCAAACACTCATCTGTTTCCCAGAACCAATTTTTGTGACTCTCACATTTTTTTCAGGTTTTCTTTTCTTCAAACTTTTAAAATAAATAAATAAATAAATAAATAAATAAATAAATAAATAAATAAATAAATAAATAAATAAAGATTTATCGGCAAAATGTGTTGATTTTACATTTGAATCTTAATTTTTTCTATATGAACAATGACCAAGGGAGGTGACAATATAACCTTTCTCTACATATCATTACTAGAGCACAAATATATGGTTCTGAGTTACAACAGGAACAACGTAAGTGAAACTAAATCATCAAAACATTTGGTAATCACAAATAAAAGTAAACCAAACATCATTTGAAATTTTACAATATCTATGCACAAGAAAATGCAAGTGCATGCAACAATATCAATTTTTTTAAACTAAAAATCTTGAAATCAGGATTGAAATAAACTGAGAGATACACTCTAAAACAACAGTCAATAAGATGAGTACAAGGTAAAGATACCAAAAGGGACAAAATGTCTGTAGTCAATGTTACAATACAAAAGTGTTTGGGCAATGTCATGGTTGTGATTTACCATTTCTCCCACCTTTTATCCACCAAAACAGGTAAATACATGTACCTTGTGGTGTATTAAGGCTGGAGTGGCCAAATGGTTCAGCTCCCATAACAATGAGAATTAAGGTTTTGTTCCTAAAGGTATCTTTAGCCTATACTTATCATCAAAATAACGGAGCACAACAATCTTCTCAGTATCAAAAATCGATAAATAAATAAATCAATCCAGTACCTCTGTTTGTAACACAGCGTACACACCCATCCTTCTTCCTCTTCTGGGACCGCTTCCCTGCATAGTTTACACACTTTGGCATGGCAGTTGGGGCAGAAGGCGCCAGTGTTGAACAGAATGCCCAGCTCACTACGGCATCTAGTGCAAGTCTTCTCAGCATCCTGGCCTGGCTTCAAGGCCCCCTGTCTTCGCAATAACTGTATATCTGCCCGTAATTTGCTAAAGATATGAAAAGAGTATGCCATGAACCTTAACAATTCAATATTTTGGATAGACAAAACAGGTGTATACATTAAAAGTGCATAAGGCAAATTCTTGTTGTAAATTAAAAATGAAAAAAAAAAAAAAAAAAAAAAAAAAAAAAAAAAAAAAAAAAAAAAATGGAACACATTTTCAGTACTATTTATTCAGGGATCAGTGGCTAAATTCTATCTATTTGAAACAATTTATTCAAATGTTTCCCAGATAATTTTTTGATTTACATTCTATAATATCAGTTTCCATATGATTATCTCCTATTTCAAATTTTTATGTTATCATGTTTAAATGTCATTAATAAGGTTTAAAACTGTATAACTTTACTCCATTAGAAAATCTTTTGATACAAAAAAAATTTAATAAAATACCCCTATGACTTTTAGGTTTCAAAAACAGATATATTAATTATATAATGTGTGAATATAAAATATGCAATAAACGAACAATCATTCAATTTTCAAAATGCATTAACACAGAAGCTTGGAAATTGATTTCATTACATTAAAATTTGCACCATTTTGATAATGGTCTCGTCTTTCCTTGTTAGTCTCATATCATGAATAACATCAATATACACTGATGATGAGCCACTAACACTCAGAACTAAGTCATATCCACAATCAAGATGAGAGATTTCACAAATTTCCTTTTGGTATTTTCTCAAAATAAGAAGGTATAAAATGAAATGACACTACTGGTACATGTATAATTCACTGTCTTTTATTGATAAATTTTATTTTCATATGAAGATGAGTTTTAAGTGACATTTTTTATTAAAATTAATGTTTTATTCCATATAATATAAGGACCTGCATTGCATTTTTTTCTGAACATACAATTACAGTTACTGATCATTAAAAAGTAATAATTATCTCATTCCTGTTTTATATTTGAAGGAATTAATCATGGGAAAAGTCAACAGCACAAGCAGACTTGATGTTAGGGGATTATAGTGGGACACATTTCCAGTGAGTGGTATAACATTCCAATCTTTTCACCTTTTGAAATGAAAAGAAAACTATTTGACCAACACAGTCTAACTAGATTATACCACATATTTTAGCTGCAATGTTCACAGGGTAAAATAAAAAAACAAAAACAAATGTCCCATGGCATGTAGAGTATGTATGACTATAATACCTGGCCCTAAATTTTAAGAATTTATGCTATATAAAGAAAAAAGGGGAGGGTGGGGGCATTTTATTTTCTTCCATGGCCAGAGTTCATCATCACAAAGTCAATATACTGTGCAAACTAAAAAGTGTGTATTTGCAAATGTAGTAAATACCATTAAAAATCAAGATTAATGGTTCTTGGTAAATAATGTAGCAAATATTTTGAATTTATGTACTAGTACCACAGCTGCTAACCAATATTTTATTTGCTAGCATTCTTTACTGACATCTTTAAAAAAAAATCACAAAATACAAGCCTGCCATGCAATGTAGCACAGAATGTATCTGGGTCATTACAGGCACTAACAAAGTCTGTAACGGCCCAGATACATTCCTTTTAAAACTGCTGATTTTTTGTAGGTACAATAAAAACAACAATATACTGTACTAGGACAAAAAACTGAAAGAGAGGCCCAATGTTTCAGTAGTTCCTAATATTGTACCATTTTCATATGAAGTTTTTCACTGAGCATAATAGCAAATAAAGAGAAGCTAATCCAAGCCCAAGGTTAAATCACATCATTATCATTTTGTGTCTTGTACTAAAATTGGTAGCCATCATGCTATAAGTAATCCCAGACAGAGATTAATACTACTACCTTGACAAATGAGCACTTTAACTCAAATGTCTGGGTTTATTGCATGTTAATTCTGATGTCAATCATTTTATGCACAAATTTCATAACACCAGAAGTGTTCCACCAACATGACCAAGCTTTAAAAATATTGGAATATGAACAGGGTCATCTTTTATGAATAGACTAGAATACTATGCCTCTCACCACTTTTTTTTTTACATAAGAATGCCCATATAGATACAGGCAATGCAGTACAGAATTCCATGCTGTTGCCTTGTCGCTCTTGAAGCATGAAATAAGGTCACATAATTCTCCAATGAATAGCAATTTTCAAACCAAATGGACACATTGTGTGATGTGTGTCACACCTGCCTGCATTACAGGTATTCATAATATAGAACAAAGCTACAGTTTAAGTTCAACTAAAATTATCATTCCAAAGGTGTATAATGAGTCTCTCCTTGGACACATACTATGCTGATCCAGTGCCTGCCTCATCCTTCTCATTATTACAGCTTTGTTTTAGCAAGTCTGCTATTCAGTAAATTGGCTAGCTATTCAATACATTAAGCTGTTGTCTAATTTTTCTTTTCAAATTATTTTGGGCACCTTTTCCAATGCATATGTAGTTTTGTGGCATTTACTTTATTTGCAGTTTATATGGAGTAATTTACTTGCTTCAATGTTTCTCATATATCACAAAAATTAGTTGTTGGCTAAACTAAAAATTAACTTAAAACCTTTGCACTCTTCGTTTTGCAAATTAGTGAAAAATCAGATACTAACATTTTTTCTTATTGCAACACAAATACAGTCACACCACAAGTCTTCGATGGCACCCATGACAAATTATAACAAAGCACCGCTGTCATATTATAACAAATAGTCTCATTTTCATGAGATGATTTCATCCCCATGCTATCAAAGGGTGGCTATTCACTCCCTCCAAACAATGTCCTGTTCACCCCCACATAACACGTATCTCCAGTGTCTGGAACTAGTGGCCCGTGACTAAAAGGGCAAGGTATGGGGGTCCCTTTTTTCTTTCTGAACACTCGGCCTATATAAGTTTTATACAGGATTCCACATTTTCATCAACCCACATCTTTTGGGACACAAAGGCAGAGACTCCTTGAGGTGAATCTTTCTCTAAGCTTTGTGTTGCTCAATGTACACATCTCAACAAAATCGCACTGTTTTTTTTCTTCTTTTTTTAAAATCAAACTTATCACATATTCCCTGAGCAAAAGTGAGGTAAAAGGTAATGTTACAAATGCCACAAAAACATTAAATTTAAAGGTACTTATCTTTAATTTCAATACCAAATTTCTTACATTTAACTAAGGTCTTTGCTCTAGATTTATTGCAAGTTAAGAGTTAAAATATATGGTTAGAGTTTGGGAGGAAAAAAAAATTAAGTGCTTTTCAAGCAGGCAGGCATTTTTTTCTCTGCTTCATGACTTTCAGCAATTGTAGTTTTCCATTTGCTTTGAGTTAATATTTTACACCATTTCAATTATCATCATGCAGTTCAAAATACATGCTGGTGCTACATCAGGATGAAAAAATATACTGTATATTAATTTCTATAGTGCCAAATTAACTGACACAACAGTTACTAAATCATTCTTACTTGATTCTTTTCTCTTCAGCTTTTTGTAATTCTTCATCTTTGTGCAGTACATTAAGAATGATATCCCTCTCAGTCTCTGTCAGGTGGTTTAAGTCCACAAAGAAGTCCGTCTTTGCAGCTGGCCATTTTCTTACGTGCCTGTCTACTGAAGTAGCCATTATCGTAGCTTGTTGATCAAAACATGCTGGAAAAAATTTCATGTACATTATGAGCTAAGAAAGATTTAACTATTTTTATACACAAATATAAAACAATTAAAATAATACTGGTGTTCAGTATTTTTAGAACATTTACACATTTCAAAACCAATCTTTTCAAATCTGAAACAAAGGATCCCAAAAGGCAGAAACATACATCAGAAGAAAACTCTTTTGTAGGTGAATTAGTAGAGTTTCAATAGGCTTGTGTAAGGATTAATAGTATGCATGCTGTTTCGTGTACAAAAAGGTCAGACAAAGTTAAAAATATTCAACAACAAAGTTTAAAACCTTGACTTAATAAATTGGTGTTTTTTTCTATATCCTTCAGTTTGTGACAAGATGCAACACCTTCAATTTTTAAACCACATGCACAAATACCACTGCAGCTCCTTACAACTTCCTGAAGATTACTATGGGTAAAAAAATAGTTTCACTTAATTTTTTCAAAGATTATCAGTTCATAAACATTTCACTTTGACAACAATGATTTTTCTTTTCTTTCCTTTTTTGACTTCCACCACAATTATGTTAGAATGCTCAGTGCCTACCCTATACCATAGAAGTACTTCTATGCCTATACCTACTGTCAGCATCAAAACAGCAGCAACAGCATCTGTCTCCATCTACTCTAGCTGCTTATTCCATCAAAGCACAGTTTACATGTAGCATGACTTAACAAGTACTTAGCCTTGTCAGGAACTGCTTATCTGGCACCTCACAGCGATGCTACTTAACAAGACAAGTGGTTTTCGCAAGGGTCACATTTTACAAAACAACACGTAATTATCTTAACAAGGCCTCTGACCCCAAACTCAAACCTAAAACNCGACGACAGACGCAGGTGATGGCAATATGTACAGACACATCTGTGTCTGTACATAAAAATACATACAATTATTGTTGGAAGTATGCAAATACATTTTTTTCTTGTTGCTGTTTTGAGAATGCTTAGAGCAAAGGTATGCACTTGTACTGTGTGTAAATTCCTTTTCTTGTAAACAACATTCATGTATATGTTATGACAAGTAAATTCTAAAAGCTAACCTCTAATCCAATTTGTTTATCCAAATAAACTAGGGGGCAACCTATCTAGATATGAAGGTAACTTCATTTGAAAACATGGCCACAGACACTATATGTCACTTAATATAGCCTTATTAATGTAATATATGTCTTTTCATTAGATATTCATATAAGGGCCATTCCTATCATTTTCCCATTGTGAAACATCCTCTTCTCTACATACATTTTTGCATGTCTTTAAGATACTATAAATCGCACCTTATCTTTAACTTCTTATGAATTTTTCAGTGACTAGAAGGAGATATGTGTCTTAATAAAAGAAATAAGAACATCCTGTAAAAATAAGTTCAAGACTATAAACAATCCAAAGGAACAGTTAATATAAGGAATTATTTCATGTATAAATTACCAATCTACAACTCAGACTAAAGACACATCATAATGATGTGGATCATGTCTACTTGTACATGTATACATGTACATAGAACATATACATAATAAAGATTTCCTGTACTCTTTGCAATATATAAAACATATATGGAATGTATAATGCATACGTACACGTTTTATCTTTTCCTTGACCGAAAATGCTGTAATTTCCGTGAAAAAGCCCACATGTTGACTGTTCTCATTTGCTTTACTTAAAAATGGTTATTTTTTTCAAGCAGAACCCCTATACTTGTAATGTCTACACATTGATATATACTCTCATTAACAGTATGTGTAAATATACAACTGTATAGCCTTATGTGACCAGAATAAATCTACTTGAGAAATGCTCAGAGGGGTTGAAATGAAAACAATTTTGTTTCCAACCTTTGAAATCAAAAACTTGATTGCTACCCTCCCCCACCTCCACCCCCACCAACAAGCTGAGCTAAGCAGCCAGCATAAGCTGTTTGATAAAGGAAGGAGGGGAATCAAGTGTCTACTTCCTTATGTTAAACCATAAAAGTATTTTTTTTTCTTTGTATTAGTAAAACTATTCTGAGACAAACATACAATCAATTTTGTTTGTCATGTTTCCCAGCTGCAAGGAAGTTTCTCAAGCATATCACAAAACTGCACAAACTGAGAAAAAAACAATGCTCATGTATTTGTGGCCAACCTCTCTCTCAAATCATGAACAGCAGTGGAGGATAAACTTTACTTCAAGAATATATTAACTCTACTTCCTTATGTTATATCAGAAAAGTTTCATTTTTTTCTTTGTCTTAGTAGAAATATTCTGAGAGAAAACATACAATCAGTTTTGTTTGTCATGTTTCTCAGCTGCAAGGAAGTTAGTCAAGCATGTCACAAAATTGCACAAACTGAGATAAAAAAAACACAATACTCTTACGTGCATCATGTATTTGCGGTCAACCACCCTCAAATCATGAAAAGCAGTGGAGGACAAACTTTACTTCAAGAATATATTAACTCCTAATAACATACTATGCCAGATCTTAAGGTGAGACCCTTAACTGTTATTACAGTATGATTTAGAATTGAGCTCACTTGCATATGTGTATATATATAGCTGGGTAAATAACGTGCTGTATACTCACCCGTCTTAAAGAAAGCAGTTGAAATTCTCCTGTAGTAGTTCACTCATTGTTTGGCCTGCATAAGATGAAAAATAAAAAGATGGACACATTTTAACTGAATTATTAACATTATAAAACCTTCTAAATAGAAATGTGGCACACCTGCATCGTGGATTACAATATATATTTAAGGTCCCAGGGAAACATTAAGTTGATCTGAATGTTGATATTGTACTAATGGTAGAGATATCTAGAGCAGTCATCCAAAAATATGACCCTTGTCCATGAATAAATACAACAGAGAGGGGCAACAGGAGACAGGATATATTCATCAATAGCCAAAGAAATGTTTTTCACTGTTCTACTTTTTTTCTCAAACCATAATTTTTTTTTTTGGCTTAAGTTTTCAACTAAAATAGATGAAAATGAAATTGGTAAAGGTCTCATCAAAGTGTAATAAACCTAGGACCCAAATTATGAATGTTGCATCCATAGACAAAGTAAATATAAAGCAATTTTTTTTTATCAGATCTTCTCCATGGTGGCAGGTAGATCTATTCTGTCATGTCCATAAATAAATGCAGTGCTTATTCATGTTTCTTACACAGCCCCTGGTCACAATACAAGGGGTCTTTTCATCCAAACATGCCTCCTACTTCCAAGATAATAACATGTTTATGAGCAACCATGATATATAAATCATAACACCCTAAAAAAAAATGAGGCCTAAAGACCACGATGTCAAAGTGTACCCCAATTTTTTTAAGCCTTCCTTTTTAAGACACACAATTTGTGCAAAAGCAAAAATGCTTTCTTTAAATAAATGTGCTTTACTTGGGTGTATGATATATTATTTATTCGTATCTAATCTTCTCATGATTCCAATTTAATAGTGAGAGCAATTTGATCTTAGCTTTTTCTAAACCACTAACACCCTGCATTAATACAGTTATCAAGGCAGTAAAATTAAGTTTTGTTTGGAAAAAAACCCTGCTAACAACCAATTCACTACAAAAAAAAAAGCAAGGATTAGAGCATTCAACTACTGAAGTCTCTAAGAATGGGGTTCAATTTTATCAGCAAACTGCATCATCACACTCTGATATAAATGAGAATTAAGCAGTCTGATAATGTGTGGAGTGTAGCTCGAAGATGTTATTGTCAATATTTGGCTGCAGTTCCAAGTATCTACACGTGCTTAGTGTGCCTTTTATCAAGTGGTTTCATGTGTGCCCCACAAAAGTTGTATGTAAACAAGACTCACCCATACACTGATATTTCTTTAAGGTTAACTTCAAAACATAAACATACTGTAAAATTGAAGTTTATAATGACTTTAGAATACAGCCTCATATATAGAGGCATATACTTAGAGGGCATTTCCAGAGATTTAGATCGATCTTCCTAGATCGACCTAACTCCCTGGGGGTTCACGCTAAATTGCAGTCAGCCGACCGTGCACGGAAGTTAATTACCCCCTTACAGCTTGTAGTAGGCGGAATGGATATTTAAGCCGGATTATCTGACAGTAATCTAGTGAGACTCCCCACGGTGATAGATCAATCTAAAATCTATGGGAATGCGCCCTTATACGAGCATATGAAACATCTAAAATGTCCATATGACAGGAGTTTAGATCTTTTCATTAACCACATCTAATGCTATGATAAGAATTTAGATTAACAGTATAAATTTACATATTAATGATTCCCATTTGGATATATCTATGAACCTTGGTGTATGTAGATAAAATTTTACCCAGAAGGGACCTTTTCCTGGCAAAAAGGGTTGTTTTTTTCACCCCCCCTTCCCCCCCTGGCTACGGGCCTGGAATGAGATAGCAGATGAATACACAGATGAATACAAAGATAAATAAATAAATATCTCATTCTCTGTTCTTACCGGAAATTATTATTTATTATAGTTGACTGAAAGGATGAACTACCTTTCACAAATCTTATATGACCTAGACAGTTGAAAAATAGCTGAGACACTTTCCAAACATACCATAGCATACTGGTACTTATATATCACATAGGGAGAGTGTCAAGGTACACACACTATCATACCTACCATACCAGTACACAGTTGTCCGTGTTACTACTGTTAAGAAATAAAATATTGCACAAATCATCATACATTCACACTTATTTTCAATTTTTTTTAAATATCTTCTTTATGTGTTAGCACGTTATTGTTGTTATGTTTGGATGGTGCTGAATCAATATTACTTGATTATCCTCAAGCCAATACTGTCTTTTAATTATGCAATCCGATAATTAACTTAATAACTGACCATGTGATCCCATCTTTAAGTATATATACGTATATATATATATACTGACAGATGAATACAAATTAAGTTTATCTTTAAAGATTTATGTAACCAGACTTCCTTTCTATTAAGCGAATTGCCTGAAGAAATAAAATATTCACGCCTGATATATAATAGACTACTTAGTATACAGCTCGTATGACCTTACCTCAGTCAAAGGAAAGAAAAATGAAATAATAGGGCATCAATGAAAACTTCTTCATATCCCCTTTTGCAGATTGTGGGGAAGGATTTTGCAATGACAGACAAGACATCAATATGGTTATATTTATTTACAATTACTGGCCCATATGAAAGTGACACTAACCAAACAGACATCTCCCATCGTTATTAACACACCATGGCATTAAAAACCAAATTAGGCAATATAATTGACGTACAGAATTTCAAAAGGTCGTCTGTGCTTAAAGCCCTGATGACACTGGTTGGCGGAACAGGAGACGAGGGTCAGCCACAAACAACAGCACATATAAACACTCACCGCAAGTTTACGCCACAAAATCGGACATGTCCACTGGCATTTGCACCAGAAACACTGTGCGCTTCAATTCCAAGTTTTCCACTACTTCATAGGAGATAAAACTGGTCATGAAAATGACCTGGAAAGCAAACAGATGTCTAGGCCTTTGCCTCGCGACAGCTAAAACACGCAGAGCTGGCAGTGAATGACACACAACAAGCTTGACGGTACGTGTGTGAAACGGAAATTACAGGCACTTGTTGCTTCCGCTCCCAATAGCTGGCGCCACGTGCTTGAGGCAGCAAGATGAAACGATTACCTAGGGCTCCTATTATTAGATTAGATAAGTAGAATTTAACGTCGGTTAAAATAAAACTCCA